AAAAATTTTTTATAAATAATTTTAAAAGTTTTATTATTGTTAAATATTTATATTTTTTTATTAATTAATATATAATTTATAGTAATAATTAATCAAAATTATTTAAAAGTAAAAATTTAATAAGGAAAGAAATTTTTTAACAATAATAAAAATTTAAAAATTATATATGAAAAAAATATAAGAATTAAAACTAGTATTAAAGTATAATATAAATAAATTTTATAATTTTTGATTGTATAATTAAGAATTTAAAAATTGCCAAAATTAAAATTTATAATAAAAATATAGTAAATAAACTCAAAATTTTAAAAGCAACTGTATATACTGTATATAATATATATATACTGCATATTTATTAATATATATTTAACTTGATCTGATAAAAAATTAAAAAAAAATTAAAAATAATAATTTATTATTTTTATTTTTAAAAAAAATTTTAACCCATAACCATACCATTATAGCTCACAATAATAATTTACTATATTATTTTACTTAAATATTTCTTAGTATATTAAGATCTAAGAATCAATCAATCCTTTGAACTATATTGTAATCTTAAATATTATATATGATTACAATATTTAATTAAAAATAAAAAAAAAATATGATAGAAAATCTTAGTAGATAATGAATTAAAAAATTAAATCTTTATTATGGAATCTAAGGCTATACTTATTAAGATTTACCGAATATACTGTTTTGTGTACTCGATACAAAATAAGTCTTTGCATATGCGTAAAAAAAAATAATTTTAATCTTGTATAAAATCTAAAAGGGTATTATGATAAAAAACATGCGCTCCTTCAGTTACGGACATACGCAGAGAAAAGCACCGGAACTCGTCCGATCTCCGAATTTAAGGCGGTTGGGACAACATGGAAATATCGGGTGCCGTAATTTTTTTTCTTAAGTTATGTCATATACAGTGAAAAGCACTAAATATTATGGTTAGAATACTGGGTGCTATAATTTTTAATTTAAGCGGATAAATTTTTTTGATCTAAGATGACGAATAGCTGGAACCCGTCCGATCTCCGAAGTTAAGCCACTGATGGCCCGGTTAGTACTATGGTTGGTGCTGTAATTTTTTTCTATTTCTATTTTAACGTAATTTAAGCGGATTGAGTGCTATCATTTTTTTAATTTAGGCGAATTAAATATTTTCTAATTTAATTTTTTAAAACGACAAATAATTACGGCCATACACAGTGAAAGACACCGGAACCCGTCCGATCTCCACTGATGGGACAACATGGGAATACCGGGTCCCGTAATTTTTTCTTCTTAACTTAGTTTAAGCGGATTATTTGAGATGATTGGCCTTACACAGTGAAGCCACTGAGGGTGCTATGATTTTTAATCTAAGTTAGATTAAAAGTTTTCAATCTAATTTTTTAAGACGATAAATAATTACGGCCATACACAGTGAAAAGCACCGGAACCCGTCCGATCTCCGAAGTTAAGTCACTGATGGCCTGGTCAGTACTATGGCTGGGGATAACATGGGAATACCAGGTGCCGTGATTTTTTTTTCTTAACGTAGTTTAAGCGGATTATCTGATTTTTTGAGGCGAAGAATAATTAATTTGATTTTTTGAGATGACAAAATAATTACGGCCATACACAGTGAAAAGCACCGGAACCCGTCCGATCTCCGAAGTTAAGCCACTGATGGCCCGGTCAGTACTATGGTTGGGGACAACATGGGAATACCGGGTGCCGTAATTTTTTTTTTTTTTCTTAACGAGTTTAAGTGGATTGGATTTTTTGAGGCGAAGAACAGTTACGTCATATACAGTGAAAAGCACCTGAACCCGAAGTTAAGCCACTGATGGCTCGTACACAGTAAAAAGCACCAGTATTTAATGTTAAGCCACTAAGTACTAGTTAGGCTATAATTTTTTTTTTTTTTTTTAAATTAAGCGAATTAAATTTTCTAATTTAATTTTTTTAAGACCGATGGTCCAGTCAGTACTAGTCCCAGAACTGGACAATAGTATAATTTTTAATCTTTAAGGTAATGGCTAAAAGCACCTGAACTCCGGTTAGTACGGGATAATATAGGAATACTAGGTGTTATATTTTTACAACTCATCGTTAACATTAATAATAATGTTTAGTTTGAGCGAAGAGGTACTCGACCTTTATTATTTACAATACACAGTAATATATTTTTGCATTTTTTTTTTTTTTTTGTAAAAGCTAGCTGTGTTTATATATTCTTTGTATGTGGAAGAAAAAAAATATACATATATAAAGAAATAAAGTGAAGCGAAAAACGAAAAACTATGAAACGAAGACGAAAAACGGTAAAATTTTAGATGACTTAATTAATAGGTATAAGAAAACGAAAAACTAAATTACGTATAAGGGGAAGGATTATAAAAAATTTTTTCTTCAAGTCGTAAGTTTCGATATTAAGATTCGGTTATTCGTTCGTTCATATTTTAAAGAAAAAATATACTACATAGAAGGGGTAAGATAAAGGGGAAGAAAGACAAACCTTTCTTATTTTTGGCACGAAAAACTTGTGGGAGACAAATTATTCGCGCAATATTTAACACAGCTAGTAATGTATGTATGAAGTCTACACACACCACCTGTATAAAGATTATAACGCGAATTCTATAAGAAGCAAGTGAAACATATTTTACAATAAATCTTAATGACGTAAAGCGAAAATCTTTACGTCGTAAAGAATTTTTTTTTTTTTTTTTTTCATAATTTTTTGACCAGTATGATTAATGCGTCAAAGCGGAGAATCATGCGGCGCCTGACAATTTCCATAGAATTGCTTCATAACAAAACACATATTGCCTGAGTGTTTTAACCATGCTCAACCTCTGTTCGCGGAAACGCGCAATTGTTTCCTGAATGATGTCTTTACTTGTATCGAAATTTTTTTCGTGAAATAGTGAGAGAACGGTGTCGATGGTACAGAATGCTCCTGTACGACCGCAACCGGCGGAACAGTGTACAACCATAGGGCCGATTTCTTGAGAAACGTCACATTGTTTGGATGCATTTAACTGGATTGAATTCGCAGTTTCAATTAGATTTAGGATATGGCGCGGAGAATCCGGAATTCCGAAGTCGGGCCACCCAAGAAAGTGTAATTGGGTGATTTCACGAGCGGGCAATTCCGGGTGGTTCCTGTGACGTAATCGGAACTTCCGAACGGTAATGCCATTTTCTGTTGCACCATCTACACTATGGCTTGAATGTTCGGAAATGAGGAGAAGTTCTAATGGACCAAACTGACAGGGATTTGCGGTACACTCGGCCCAATACCGATGACATTGAATCTGAATCGTGTCGAAAAAATAATATAGTAAGAGAACAAGTCAACCCATCACACATGCAAAATAAGTGACTAACTCACCCTGCCAGCTTCTTGTTCTTTAGTCAACATTACAATGATTCGAGAGTTCTGCTCCCAGATCACCTTCCAAAAATCTTCATATGTGGCGGGCAAGGGACCTTGCGTTGCAATATAACGTTTATTACACCCATCTGCTTGAACATAACTAGCGTTCACATAATCACAATCGCCCTCTTTGCATTCTCCAATCTTGACACGAGCGTGATCATATGGCCAAATATTATGATATCTATTTTTGGTTCCCTTTTCCATACCAGCCGATATGCTGAAGGGATTTTCAGTGGTTGGCTGATTTGAATTGTGAAGCATTAGTGACTGCAATCTCCTCTGTTCATCGCGCTCAATTTCCTATAAAGTGAAATGAGCGAAAGCAAAGTGTTATGAACGCATACATAAACGTGTGCCGCAAACGTTTATCAGAAGAAAATTTACATGAAATGCTTCGGCTAGTTTCCTATCACCGTTATCGCCGTAAACCACGTCTAAAATAAACTTGGGCAGTTTCGATCGGTCTAAATTGATACCTTGCGGAACGCGAACTGGTATCGTTTCGGTTATACCCGAACTCATCTCCATATTTTGCCGGATGTTAGAGAAAAAAGGATTAATTCCGGCCATTTCGATAATAGGAGTTGGGCAGGTAAATGGACCTGGTTTGCGACTTATCGATGATAGTCTACGAGGGAAGGTGGATGTGGAAGACGATAGTCCATTGATCACAGTCTTTTCACATAACTCCTCGTACTTCAATGAAAAAGCCGAAAAGCCTCCTGAAAAATTGATCATCAATTAGAGAGCATGAAGGTTTTGAATTTAATTTTAATCACCAATCCAAATGACTATTCACATAATCCTTGAATGTGAACAAACATACCTTTTAGGTATCCGATCTTTGCTTTACAAGCCGAAGACTTGAATTTTTTGCATAAACTGAATATAGGACTACTGTCCGACAAAGAAGAATTATTGTCATATAGCACAATATTTTCGTATTTCGGCCATTCTTTGAAAGTATCCCTATCAGTGTCGCTGACCAAAGTTTCGGTAATTTTGTCGATTGAAAAAGAACTTCTTTTCAACAACGTGTTCGGTACACAGATATTCAGAGATGTCTTAATTCGACACGATGCGAACATCGAGAAAGTCCTCAAATCGAGCAACAAGATAATTTTTTGAGGGGAAGGGGATTCAAGTGATGATTGTTGCTGCTTGAATATGACGGCGACACTATCTGCAGAATATTCTTCGAATGAGGAATTGAATGGGGACAGTCCTGCTGGCATGGAATGTGGTTTCTTAGGGACAATTCCTTTTGGATTTAATGTTTGCCGACGCTGCAAAGGAAACCTTTGATCGAAAGCTCCGTTTTGAACCCACGACGGTGCAACAGCAGCGCCGCCCTGGAATGGTGATTGCCTGAGTGGGAACCCGAGGGGCGACGAGTTTGTTGCAAAAAATGGATCAACCCCACTCGAGGTGATGTTGGAATCGTGATTATTGTTCTGCGATTGGTGAAGCTTGGGTTGAATATTATGACCGTGATGCAATTGTAATTGCTCGATAAAAGGTGTGGGCAGTGGTTCGCAATCGTAAAAAGGAGTTTGGACGGGGGACTGTGGCTTAGGGGCGTCGAAGTATGGAGTTTGGATAGATGAGGATCTCGGGTTTATATCAAAGTACCCAGGGGAAGCCTTTTCGGTGTTAGGCGTGGCCATAAACGAACCGGGTATATGAAAATACGAGGCTTGATCGTTGGTCGCTTCGAACTTCGGGGAGTTGCAAACAACACTCATCTTTATATACTGTATATAACTAATAGTTCTCGGTATATGAAGGATTTTTCTTGCAGCTAAGTATGATATGAAGGATAAAAGACCTAATAGTGTTTGCACTCGATAAGGAAGTGAACGTAAAGAAGGTTGCGCGACTTTTCCTTACGAATATACTCGCGAAAAAGATTTGCGCGTGTTAAAGAGAGAATTAAAAAGGAGAGTTTTGAAGTGCGACGAAAAGATATATATTATAGGGAACTAAAAAAAAAAAAAAATTTTTTTTTTAGCAGCAAAAGGAGATTATTGGTCTGAGTATGGAAGATGAACGATTTATGCTTCTTAATATGTACGGTAAAGTGAATATTACTTCTTATAAGTACTCTCTGTATTATTATGTTACATTGACTTTTGTTGATTAATTATCGGAGAAATTTACTATTACATCCCACTGTTCTGCAAGAATGAATAAAGTGATATGTAACCACGAGCGAAAGCTAAAGAGTCTCCTCAATTAAAAAAAGGATCGTCGAAACAAGACCGAAAAAAAAAAAGAAAATTTGGGTCGAATGGTTCGTTTATTTGTACTTTTTTAATTAATAACACAAGATAAATGAATCTCTCTGCATGATACCTAATATGGGTTCGGTGCGAATTGCTTAATAAGCAAGGAGAATTGGAAGACAAATGAGTTCCGTTCGAATTATGTGATGTAAAGAGAGGGACTAAGTAAGAGATTAAAGAATGATCAATACAAGAAATTCTTTTTAATAATGCTGATTCTGTTTTCACAAAATAAATTATTATAATCACTAGAAGAGAAGCCAAATAAATTTTTTTAAGAAAGGCATTTCCCTTTGATATAAATGTAAAAATTTCAAACATAGATTGTGTACAGTGCGACGTATGAACATATTATGTATTATGTAAAGATAACTAGTTTTTTTTTTTTATGTATTCTACGTTTAACATTTGTTAAGTAAAAACCTACATCATTGCCATTACGTAATCAAGTCCTGCACCAAATGATGTCATTAGGTTTAATTTGAGTGGGGTATCTGACTTGGGGCTATGTCAAAATGAGTAGTGCCGGAATGGCGGATTGACGTGATACGATTACGCCATACCCGACACCCTAAGTTTAAATTATACGATATACTCGAAGGTATATGCAAACCTCGCAAAAATCACGTCGCACAACGATTGTTACTATCTAATTTCTTCGCAAATATTATTATTGACCAAGTTATTTCTTATGTTTAAATTATTATCCAGTCATTCTTCCTGATTTCAATAAGAGTGTATAGTTGCAATTAAGTAAATTTAAAAAAAAAAAAAAATTTTTTTTTTTATATTAATTTATGCTTTAATCGTATGAATTGTACGAGAATAAAATTATCGAATATGGTATTTTTATATGGTTAGTTAATTTATGGTTTAATAGTTGATCTTAAATTTCTCGGAAAAAATTTTTTCTTTTTTTACAGTAAATTCTTTTTTTTTTTTCGTGAATCTCATTTAAACATAATTTTAATTAACATTCAAATTAATTCTAACATTTAAATAAACTATTTTCGTAAAAAAAATAGTCTTTATTACGTTTTGAGTTCAATATTATGCCTTTTATATCACGAAATACAATATATATAAAATTGGCTTTATCTTAAATTTTAACTTATTTATTTTAAAGTATATAATATATTACAAAAGTTTGGAATTTTTTAATATTTTGTCAGGTTAATAATATATATATAGAACTTTATTTCAAAAGTACTTTACTTTTCAACGAGATAAAAATTTTTATCTCAAACTATCATTATATGCAAAGTTTTGATTTACTTATGTTTTTTCAAACAAAGTACTTTTTGAATATAATAGATAAAAAACAATCTTGTATTATATTAATATATTTTAGACTTTATTTGCTATATATTAATATGATTATATTAAAATTAAGAAAAGGAAAAAAAAAAAAAAGAGAATTATCTAAAAAAAAAAAATTATTATTAAATAAAAAGAAAAAAGTTTTTGTTATTTTAATATAATTTTTTTTTTTTTTTTTTTTTTTGACGAGCTCCTGCCTAACTTTATTGATTTTCAAATTACATGTATACATTGCACAAAGCATAGGTGAATAAGTGTACATTTGGAATCAATAAAAATAACAATAAGCTAAAGCTATTTTTAAAGTTACTTCGAAATTTATTGTCCTTTCCTTTATTAAAGAAAAACCAGTATCCTGAAAGCATGCCAGTGTCATAAAATAAAAATAAAAAAAATAAAAATTAAATTGAACAATCATATACTATTCTAAAGAAATATCAATCCTGTTTTGCACATGTCTGTCTTGTTCTGATTCTTCTTGTGAAGAGGTCTGGGAAAGAAACTTATATTGAGTCTTTACAGAGATAAGGTGGAGGTCATTAAAGAAGACTTTACAATTTTAAGACTTGTGGAGAGGGAATAATCAGGAAGGCCCAAGTGATATATTGATATCTGTATAAGTGTCTTTCAATATATCATCAATTAAACTCATTCTTATCTAAATATATGTATACTTATCCATTTGTGTATTTTATTAATTCCTCATAAGAAAGACAATATCTAGTCTTGTGGTTAAAGATGGGTTACTAAAGGAGGAGACAGGAACAAAAGTTAAATGTTCTTCACTATGAAATATTAAAAATTTTAAATTAATAACTATAAAAAAACTACCCACAATTGTTCTCCATTATCCAAAAAATTGATTTATAACATTTTCTGACTTTTGTTCCTATTAAAGTGAAGAGCTATAAATTTTGTTCTTCAAAAAGGGATATAAGTGATCTATGAAATTTTATATGCTAAATATTTTAGAAATCCATCATTATCCATGATAGACATATCCTGCTGGTAGTTGTTGGTATTAACAATTAATAAGAATCTCCCAGATTATCCAGCTGACTCTCATGTCACTATTAATATTTTCAGACTTGAGTTTCGATTGATGTAGTAACATTAGCCTTCCAGTTTTTCAGCTTAAAATTTTTTGAAGATAGAATGAAGACTTCCTGAATTGCTTTGCACACAAGCTTTACCACTAAGTGTCCTTAATAGTTTCATGTTTTTTTCGATTTAGGCTTTCTGAACAGTAGAGGTTGAGACCTACCTAATATACAATTAAGATATAAATAGTTTTGACTTGAAAAAAGGTCAGTTAAGTATTTTGTGATCTTTATTATAATTGAACAGACTCTTTCTTGTATTCAATAATGTGTTGAAAGTCAAGCTGGAGTAGGCAAAATTTTCTAGAAAGCCATAAAAAAAGTAGCTCTAAAAGGTTACAATATCAGTAAAAAGATAGAAAAGTGAGTCCTTTGACTGGACTATAATTTCTGTTATCTTCATCATAGCTGAGAGATAGGAGATACTTCATTGTTGATTCTTTTCTCTTTAGGAACTTTCTTACCATAAATAGTAAAGGTAGGAGCTAAACTTTGCAAGCTACAAGAGTCTAGTTTATTCAAAAAAAATTGTAAACAAAATATAGAGAAGGTGTGGGAGTTCTAAAAAAAACTCTTTAAGTTAGTTTAAAGAGAGTGATAAAACTTTTTTAGCATAGAATTATTAAAACTTCTTGTGAATATTTTTTTTGTGTGTGATTAAATGGTTAAAGGATCAGAGGAAAAAGTTGAATGGTTATTTTAATATAATTAAATAATTATTTTTGAAAATACATTAAAAATTTTTGAATATTTAAATTATAATTTTAAAATTTATATTATATATATATTATTCAAAAATAAAATTTAAAAAAATTATATCTAATATTTTATTATCTTCAAAAATAATTATTCAATTATAATTTTTATATACAATAATTATATAAAATACTAAAAAACATTTTTACTAATCTAGACCTGTAGGTTATAAAACAATAATAATATTCTCAGATCATAATCATAAGGTTTATAATTTAATATTACTTAAGGATCAAAAATTAAAAAATTATTTTCTGATCAAGTTTATTAATTATTCTATAAAAGTTGTATTCAATCATCTAAAACAAAATTAGAAATAGATTAGGTTGTATAAAAATATGATTTCTAACTTTTCATTAATCGAAGGTAGAGATTTATAATTGTATTATCAGAAGAATTGCATGAAAAAAGACTTCTGGTTTAACCTTAAATAAATACTCCAGGATGTTCTGCCTTGATAACCTCTAAAATTCCACTCTTCTAGCTCAGAATATCCCAGTCTAGTGCTCTGTTTAATTGAAAATCAGTTAATATGAATTGATCTGATATCACAGGTAATAACAAAAAAAGTAATGTACCCCTTTTTAAAATCTAAGTGAATAATATTTAAGAATATTGAAGAATGTTGTACATCCTATTGAATATATATAAGAAAGGACTATTTTAGTAAAATAATTTATAAAGCTCTATACTAACTAGTCTAATCTTATCATTGATAACTGTATATTAATTATTTAATTCCTAGCTAGATCTATTTACTTTAAAGTGATAGTAGATCTATCTATAATAGGTTATCATTAATTTGTAAGTATAGGAAAATATATAGATTGTATAAAATAATTAATGTAATACTAGTGAATATTATTGTTCGACAAATTGCTTGTATCTAATACCAGTTGTAGTTTAATAAAAAAAATATATTTTTACTAATCTATAAATTTATAGTATAGTAATAATACTCTTAAGTTATATTTATGAAGTTCAAAGTTCTATATTATATAAAATTTAAATAAAATTTAATAATTAGATTACATAAAAAGACCTATGGGTCCATAGTGCAATGGTTAGCACTCCATAGTCATATCACAAGAGCCAAGATCAAATTCTCCAGGGAGCAACCTCTGAAAAAAGCAAAAAGTGATCTGCATCTATTGGTGTAACCATATATAACTGATGTTTCCAAGTATAGCTTGTCTATTAACAGTT